CGCAGGCCATGAGTCATGGTTGCTGTTAAGGAACTTAAATTAAGTTACTATATTGGGGAAACCCTATTATTTACTATATATTCCCATTATGGTAACTTAATTTAAGTTCCTTAACAGCAACCCAGGAGTCATGGGCAAGGGAGGTCCCACAGACTTCGGAAGTGCCTCGGCATATAGTTAGTCGCCTGGCTTTGGGAAGGCTTTTGAATTTAGGATGATCAAAACACGTTCGGGACTTGAATTGCTTTAGGGTAATATAAGACAATTTAGTTGAGATGCCTCATGGACTTACATTCAAATCACTGCCAGAAAATAGGTGTCTTCAAATGACAAGAACAGTGATTCGGACAAGAGCCACTTGCCATGTTGTTCCAATAATGGCTACAAAGCCCATGAAGCTGTCCGGGTTTCCGTGGCTTTAATGTTTTTGAAAACCTTCAGCCTAAATGCGTGACTCCGACAAAGCTTGTTGGCAACATGCCAAGCAACTGAGGCCTATTGTTGGATTGCTTTGGAGGCATGAACGCTTGCGGGGCAATCTGCCATCGGTTTGTCGAGGAGGACTGTGAAGTGTGGGTACCAGTCTGGCACTGAACATTTGTGAGTTTAAATGAGTTTCAGCATCTGACCATGAGTTTGAAGCATCCATGCAGAATCCACCCGTGGTTTTTCGAAGCGTTCAACATGCGAGGAAGCGTTGGTATGGGGATGGACACCAGCTCTTCAGACCACGACATCTTTCTGCGGTTTAAAGATGGCGACGAAGACATGGTGCAGATTTTGTACGAAGTTGTCCTGGACCTTCAAAAGCAAAGCTCAACACACTGCCGGCTGAAGCGGGCGAAGATTTTGCGCAAAGATTTTGCGGTGGAGATTCAGGACTACTACCGCTTCAGAGATTTTGATCTGGTACCCTACACAGTGAAGCCAGGTCCGACAGGTTTGGAAGATTGCCAGTGGGACGCAGGTCGCAAGGTCTGGCAGCGAATTTTGCATTCAGATTTGACACCCAAGCTGCAGGAACTGTCCGAGAAACACCCCGACGGATTTTCGATGACCAGACTTCTGAAGATTTACAACGAATCGTTGCCGCGCCTCCGTAAGTCTGGTGAGAAAAAGAAACCTCCACTCATCTCCTTACACATTCCTTTGATGGTCCTTGGAGCTCTTGATCAGCGCAAGCTTGACAGATGTAAGGACCCGCAGGGTTACTTTATGGAATCCTTGAAATATATCAGGCACAATTGGGCTCGTGCTGAAGTGGCCGAAAACGAGACAAGTTTGCAAGAGATTGGAGCTGAAGCCCATTTGCAACGCATGACGAAGAAGTATGGCGAGGCACAGATGGAAGTCGAATTCACTCAGCTGCTAGACGATCATCTCATCATTCTGGAGCAGCTATGTGCAGAGAAGGGAGATGACAAGCTGGCAGCCCAGAGGGTCATCTCAAGTGTTCAATCCCTCTTTGGGACTTCGGGACCCCATGGGCTGTTGGCTCGAGAACCTACCTACAAATCCAAGGTGGCTGAGGCTGAGGCTAAGGCTAACCTTTGACGATTTGGACTCAGAGTTGTATAATATAGTATATTATATGATAGTATCCTGTATTATAATATACTATAATATACCATAATATCCCATAATATATTATAATATACTATAATGGACTCAGAGTTGGGCCGGGGCGGTGGGAAAAGGAGCCAGCTGTGACCTTGGCCTTGCCTTGCAGATTCGGGTTACACGGTTACACCTGTGACCACGTGTCTTTGGGAGCCCAGAGTTCCTCTCAGTGTTCTTCCGCGTATAAGAAATACAGATCATGGGGATTAGGCATCTCCTGCGCATACATTGGCGTTCACAACTCACCCCATGATTTTGCTAACCTT